TTAAGCAACACTTACAGAATCACCATAGCTGAACACATCTAAGGAGACTTTTGTTGTTTTCTTTTTAAAGGTTAACAATATTTCGGTAATGACCTATGCATTATATTTTCAAAACCTGCACCAAGAAACACTTACGGTGTCAGGAACCTGTTACATAATTATCTTAGAATATGGACCTTGTAATATATGTACAAACAATGTTAAAATACTTTAAGGACATAAAACAGTCGGGTCAAAGATATGTGAACTAAGTTATGGTCATCGTCACCCTTTAAAACTAGAGGGGGACATGTCACTAGAAAACCCAATCTTTTCAATGGACGCTAGAATTCCTAACACCATTCAACTCAAATTTGCTATAGTTACCTAGAAATTCACTACACAGATTTTATTAAAGTCATAAGGAGTTTCCAGTTTTTAGACTGGAGAGTCTGATGTCCGCAACCCTAGAGCTGACCCTCTCGCTAGAAGCGGTATTAACAAAGGACATGTAAAATAGACTGTTGCAGAAGTATCCTTCAGTAGTTTTAAATATTGCTTGCAACTGCACAAATAAATTGTCAAATATTCAAATAACCCCCATGAAATTTTGATAAGCTCTTCCCCAAGGTCCTTGCACCTTCATCCTTACACTAATGCACTTCATCTTCATTTACCTGATCATTAGCTTCCAGTTTGTTCAGCTGGAAACCAACGCACACTAATTACTTTGACATCACAAAGTCCTATCTGTCTTCACCACCTCCCCAGACAGCAGGGAGAAATTATCAAGGGTAGGCATGATAATATCCTGATAAATGATGATTCACATCACCTCACTGTCAATCATCCAGAAGTGCTCACACAAAATACCACTCAATCTCATTATTGAATCCTAGGGCTAAGAGTACAATACACACCAGGAGTCATATTTCAAACAGCAGGCCACCTGAGTAAGATGCAGCTCTGAGATTTTCATGAATTTTGTTGGCTTTTTGTTTGAACACTGTAAACGTCAAGTATTCATATATTTTACTGTATGCACACATGCTGGCAGAAAAGGACGAGCTTAAAGCAAGGCAGTTCATCTTGAGGGCTCAAGTGAGAAAAAAAATTTTTTTGGAGGAAAGATGTGAACTGTTTCATTAATTTTAGAAAAATGAATAAACTTGTAAAGTTTCAAAGTTCATTTTAATTTAAGGATCTTTCCTGCTGAAACAATATAAAAGCATTCAGAGTTCTGAAAGAACCAATGCTAGCTTTGAAACTCACTGACATCGGCCAAGTTTGCTTTTTCTATAGCAGAAGGTAAATACATGTTCCTGCTTAAATAGCCTAATCAGAAAAGACAACCCATTAAGAAGTAAAATAAAAACTTGTTAGGAGCTGCTTTCTCTGAAAAGGTCACCTTCTTCCCTACTTTAACTTTGTATCATCATCCCTCCAGTTGTCTCAGTCCAATTAGACAGACTTTATATAGACACATAGACATAAGGCTTGGGGCAGGGAGAAAAGGGTATATGACATCATCCCCAAGGTTTGGTAACTTGCCCCACTTCCTTGCCCAAAGTAGATCATCCACTATCATTATATTTGCAGAATGACACACCATATACCGAACAACATGATGAATCACAGACCCACCTACCCACCAGCTCACAGACACACAGAATGGTTTGGGTTGGAAGGGACCTTACAGGCCACCCAGCTCCACCCCCTGCCATGGGCAGGGACATCTCCCACCAGCCCAGGCTGCCCACAGCCCCATCCAGCCTGGCCTTGAGCACCTCCAGGGACGGGGCACCCACAGCTTCTCTGGGCAACCTGTGCCACTGCCTCGTCACCCTCAGAGTAAAGAATTTCTTCCTTTTATCCAACCTAGATCTATTCTTCAGTTTAAAATCGTTGTCCCTTGTCCTGTCACTACAGGCCATGATAAAAAGCCTGTCTTCCCAGAGCCTTCTCTTCTCCAGGCTATGGAAGAAGCTGTTCTTCATAGGAGGGGTGCTCCAGCCCTCTGATTATCTTTGTGGCCCTCCTCTGGACCCACTTTAACAGGTCCATGTCCTTCTTGTGCTGGGGGCCCCAGAGTTGAATGCAGCACTCCAGGTGGGGCCTCACAAGAGTGGAGTAGAGGGGGACAATCACCTCCCTCAACATGCTGGCCGTGCTATTTTTCAATGCAGCACAGGACACAGTTGGCCTTCTGGGCCTTCAAAGGCCTTACAGAAGTCCCATGTTCACTGATACAGACACCCTCACTGATGATGTAAAAGAAAAACACAAAAACACTGAAACAACAGAGCAGTGAGAAAAACAATAGCAAGAAGGAACTCCACAACCATGTGTGGATGTGCTAATTACTGCCAGGAGGAAGGAAAACAGTCAAAACTAAGAATCAAAAATTGAGTACAGAAAGGTCTAGAAACAAACAAACAAACAAGGAATCAGGAGAATAAAGTACAAAAATGCATGTTGAACCGTTCCATTGTGTTCTTCTGGCTGAAGACACTTGATCAATCAATGCAAGTCAGAGCAGTGCTCCTTCTAAGTGCTGACGATAGTGGTCCCCAGGTGCCCTGGTACAGCCACCAGCGATTGCCTGCCCATGACTGCACCTGAAATTGGTAGGAGCCCTCACACACACTTTCTTGGACCTTCACTGACCCAGACTGTTTGAAATATGATCACAGACTTGCAATGAAACCTTCGTCTCACTTCAGATCACACTCCTGTAGGGCTACACAGGACAGACTGCAACTTAGAGGCTCTTGCTAGGATAAGGTTAAAATAACATTTTTCAAGGAGAAATAAGGAGGATGTGTTCTAGTGTATGGAAACGCAAACACAGCAGAACTGCAAGAATCCATAAAAATAGTGAATGAAATAATTTTAGTGCGGCTGCACGACATACCTGACATACACACCACTAGAAGACCACCTTTCAATGCAGCTGTGGATCACTATGTCTGAAAGCTAAGAGCTCTTCGCAAGCTTCCTATCAAAATACTCACCCTAACAAAAGCTGTCTTCCAGCCTACATGCACACAGATTTCTCTCTCCGAAGTCTGTGACCAAACCTCCTCACTTCTCTGGCACAATTTACATAAGGTTGGCAAAATTATCTGTCATACCTAACATGATAAATAAGTGATTCTGTGTCAGTTTTGACCAGCAAGTTTAAACACCACATCCTTAGGCAACAAAATTCAACGATTTTATCCATCAAGAATGAAAAGGGCTGAAAATAAAACAGAACCTAACATCTCTAACATATAAAGTAGGCAAAAGTATGGGCAAGAAGATGGATTTCCTCCCCCCCTCTGAATGCAACCTCACTGCTTTTCTTCCTAGACTACAGAAGGGTTGCTGGAAGGGAACAAAACTAAGAGTCCTGTTTTGGTTTACAGAAATATAGCACTTAAGACAAAAAGGAAGTGAGAAACTCAGACCAGCAAAAGTTTTAGAAAAGTTACTCGATGATAAACTTCCTACAGACGTGTTAGTTTTCACTTTAACTTCGGAACTGAAACAGCCTTATTCATCCCAGACTTACTGCACCTATCACTTCTTAAAGAGCATATGATCTGACTATTTGCACCTCAAGGCCACTGTTGACTTAACTGCTTGAAGTCATACAATTCAAATTTCTTTTGTGGAAAGAATATTGGCGCAAAGAATACACAGGCATGCACGCCTGCCTGCAGAAGTGAATTTAGAATGATAGTTAATGTGTTAGCTTTACCCCCAGAAATCTACCGAGGGCAGAAAATTGCAATAGTGATTGTATCCTTTAGTTCAGCTGATGGAAATGTGACATTCTAGCAGCTCAGGACTTCCTTAAAAAGGCATATCAGAAGATCAGAAATGTTGTTTAAATTTCCATATGTTAGGACTACACTGATTACTCTATAAGAGCCTTTTAGCATAGCCATGTTGCTTTTTAAATGTCACTACTGTAATTTTTTTTAAATGAACTTCCTAATTCATGCAAAGAATGCACTTTTTCTTGCTAACTTGATAATGAAAATTCTTTGCAGAAAGGACTAAAATTGGCACAGAATCAAGTTCTACTTTTAGGGAAAATGCTCAGTTGAATCCATTAAGACCATCTATAAAAACTACATCTTTCTGTTAAGCCACTGAAGTTAGCTTGCAGTACAATTATAGTATTTCCTCTGAAGGAAAAAAGGAAAAAAATAGATAGGAAACTGCTGTCAACAAGCATCAGTATCATAGAGCTCACAGTCTACATGTTTATCTGTCAATCTTGAGCTCCACAGATATGGAACAAGAACACAGGACAAAACTTGAGGCTCAATTTAACCCATGTTCCAGGCTGACTGCAAAAACTCTCCAGAGCATTCACCAAGTAGAAATTAAATACAGGTTACAGTAGAAGTGCAATTGATATCATAAGATAAATTGAATTTAACATCTGAATTCAGGTTATTACCTTAATAAAAATCCTAGAACCAGAAACCCTCCCCCACACTGTACTCAAATTTTTATTTTTAGAGAGCAGTGATATTTAAAGCTACAGACCCACTACATACTAAACATACATACATCAAATTAGAAGTTAGCATTGATAAAGATACACTATGATCATTAAAATGAGAGAAAATACAATAGCAAAATCCTTATTAATACTATAGTAATGTAAATTTAAAGACTTGGGATTCAGCACTTACCAAATAAATTCATTGATGATTCTTTATCAAGTGTTAGATGGCACAAAAATGGCTTATCAAACCAAAAGCACAACAGATGCTACTGTGGTTTCCAAGGTTGTATAAAACATTACTTAACAACGTAAATGAAGAACAGAAGCTAATACCTAAAAAGTTCAAAGCTACAATCAGTCTTAAAGTCATAAGGAAGAAAAGCAGTACTTCGTTGCGAGTGTAAGAGAAGAAACAGTGGTCTCTCAGGTCACAGAACAACAGTGGTCTCTCAGGTCACAGTAGCAAGCAGCAAGACTGCCCAAACCCAGCTAATTCTGCATGTCATCCTACTCTATTAAGGGAAAATTTGGATGCTGGGACCTGGCCCTACCAGACAACAGTGCCCAAAGGCCATTCCTTAACCACCTCCTCTTCCCTCCTACATATACAAGGTTTTCAGCCACTAAAAATGTGCAAGCAAGCAGTATTAAATTGGAAGCCCTTTGGGATCCTTTCCCAGGGCATAAATGAGTGGCCTAGGAAGACACGCCAGGCAGTTTTCCAACACCAAGCCTTTATTGCACCACACCGCAGAGCTGCCATGCCAGGGCCTTAATGCTAGAGGAATGTCACAGTCCTTAAAACTTGTTATCACAGGTGGTTTGGGGGTTTTTGTTTTGTTTTTCAAAGCTGAAGGCTGGATTCCGATTAGCCTCTAACACGTTCAAAGTGCCAACTTCTCACCTCCACAGAGCACAAACGTTAGCCAGGCAATATAACCGCGTTTGTTGTCTTCTGGAAAAGCCTTTAAGAACAAGAAAAAGAAAGGATGGAAAGGAAAAAGAAAAAGAGAAAAGGCACCCCCCAGCAGCCCTCTTGCACAGTATACTTGTTAGCTCTTCTCCACAATAAACTCCTTCTCTGAATTACCAAATATTAAGCAAAAAAGTCCAAGAGAAATCAGGTTCAGCAAGTTAACTTTTTTGGGAGCATTTCTAGGAAGCTGACAGTCCCAATACTGAACCAGCAGCAGCATCCAGAAGAGCTAAAGTTAAGAGCAGCAGCCGTGCATGTTTGAACAAAACCATTACTCATAACTGAGTAGAAGAAGAGTTTTCAAACAGCTAAAACACCATATATAAAACTGGAAAATGTTAAGCACAAGATCAGCAAAATTATGCAGGAAAGGGTCATAAGCAATAGCTATTATTTCAGTTGCTGGGCTTCCCCCACAAGTTTTATACTCTTATTAAAATTAAGAGAAAGAACCAGAGGCTTACGTGTACTCTCATTATCGTCTTTATACATACTTAGACTCACATCACCATTTTGAGATCTGTACACCACAAGAAAAATCTTAACTGAAAAAGTACTTCCCCAAACTGAGACTGATGATTCGGCTGTGGGTGACAGATAACTTTAAGAAATCACCCAGGTAAAGGAACAGGCCGTATTTCCATAAGCATTCAGATTATCTATGAAGAAGCATTTGTTTTCTTGGCAAATATGCCACATAAATGGTGAAAAAAAGATGACTGCTTTCTTTCACTTTGTGTAGCTAAGGACTATCAGCTAAGTGTATGTGACAACAAAATTTATGAATCAACTACCTGTTGAATGTTTTGCTTTTACTTGCATAAAATAATGGTTCTCACCCTAACCTTGTGCCATCAAAAAAAAAAAAACACACTGAACAGACAAGTAATTGAGGTTAGAAGGGATCTCTAGAGAGTTGGTCCAATTCTTCCACTCACTTTGCAGTTTGGCTAGGTTAACTCTATCTCAAATTCAGCTACCAAGATACTACAGGATACCAGTGCTAGTGAAGACAAGGTAAATGATACCAGCTGCTCTTTCATTCATGGATCTGATCACATCAACTATGACTACCAGATGGGCCAGGCACGATTTGCCCTAATGAATCCATGCTGACTGCTCTCGGCCATATTCTCATCCATCATATGGTAGGACACGTTTTCCAAAAACTCACACCACTCTGTTCTTTCTTCCTCCAGTAACTTTCCTCTAGTTCACTGGATCCTCCTTGGAGATGCGTTCGTCTCTTCCAAGTCATCAGGCACCTCCCACAACACCACGACACTTCCAAAATAAAAGACAGCAGTCTCCCAAAGAAATCAGCTCATTCCCTCAGCTCTGTCACATGCATCCCATCCAGGCCCACAGACTTTGTGTGATACCTACTTGATCTTTCCCAACTGTGAACAAGGCTATACTTTACCTGGTACTACAGCTAGGTTCAGGGACCTGGGACAGCTAGGAGGGGAATTGCTCAGTAAAGGCCAAAGCAAAGGCATTGATTCTCCCAGTCTCTTCTGTACCCTTTGTCATTATTAGGTACCATGCCCAATGAACCAACATTTTCTTCTTCCTTCCTTTGGCTGCCAATACACAGAAATTTCTTGTTGCCCTTTCACACCATCCAGTATAGACATAGCTCCTGTGCTTAGAGGTTTTCCTTGAATATCAACCAGGTCTCCTAGGCTGCTTTGATCTCCAAAAGAAGTCTCCCATGGGATCCTGCCGATCAAATCATTGCTCAAGCCAAAGCTGGTCCTCCTTAAGTCCAGATTTATAGTTCTGCTATTTGCCCTACTTCTCTTGAGAACCTAAATTTCACTTCTTCCAAAAGATTGTCATCAAGCTTCATAGCCCTGATCAGCTCTTCCTTCTTCCTAAGATGTCCAGCACAGCATTTCCTCTAGCCAACCCATCAGTCATCTATGCCAAGAAATCACCCGCCACGCATTCCAGAAGGCTCCTGAGAGCACTTTCACTCCACATTTCCAGCGGATATCAAGATGGTTAAAAGCCCACATTAGTACTAGGGTCTGCAGTCATGAGGCTTCCTGCAGTTTTCTTAAACTAGTTTCATCTGCTTCCTATTCTTGATCAGGATTTTGGCAGACAACTACAACAAGGCGTACTGACAGAAGTCACAGCCTTCCCTATACTGAGTCTCTGTCCTCTACCTACTCCAGTACAGCCTCTTGCAAATCTCTTGGCTCCACAGGTTCTCTGCAGAAGAACCTGCCAGTGTTTGTCCTCCGCGACCCTGCAGTCAGCTCACCTCCTTCCTGCAGCTCCCTTCACCTGCAACCCAGCACCTCAAGCACAGCATGCCTCCCACTTGGAGGACCCCACTGCCCTGCCCCTAATCCCAGGCTCAGGAGGAAGTGCCAGGTATTTGCTCTAGCCCAAGGCATGGATGACTGCCTCCTCACCCCTTCCACGTACTTCTAAATATTAAATCTTGCCAGCAGTCAGAAGTTAATCATTAACATGAGTTCATTTGTTCAGAGCCGCTTTTCTTTTACACTTATAATAGGGATTAATAAAGAAATAATAAAGCCATAGGACAACTTCTGCAGGGACTATCATAACTAGTTCCTAATACGTAACCAATACAACTCCCAAAGTATCCTTTAGGAACGTAGTGTTGATAACACCTAAGAACAGACAAGCATCAATTTGAAGTTCCATTAAAAGAAAGGAATTGCACTACACAAGTTTTAAGCTCCTCTGTCTTCTTGGTAAATGCATACAGCCCCAGTTTGATACAATGCCCCCACCAAGGTCCGGTTGCAGCTTAGGAAACCTCTCTTTTATTCACCAAACTAGCACCTTCACCATGCACACGTGCTCCCCTATAAGCATATACATACAAGGAAAGAGGATTAGTTACCCACAGATGTTTATATACCCATATCAGTTATGAGACAAAGCATCCCATAAGAGGATAGAGGCTGCGCTCTCTGAAAGTCTAGAAATAAAAGCTTTATTCAGGTTACCTCTGATATTCCAGTAGCGTTTTAAATCAGTGGAGGAAGTTAACTCCTAAAAGAAATGACAGTCTGAGATGCAGCTACACTGTTAAATAATTGAACATTTTATTTAAGTCAATACTGAGGCACACAGATTTTCATTCACTAGCCCTTAGACATTCTCATGATCAGACCTTAATACAAGCTGTTTAATGACATCCTTCAGAGTCTCCCCTATTCAATACTATAAAGCACTACAAGTGAGTAGACCAAATACCAACTGCTCAGATTCATATATCTGGAAAAGTAATACACTGTCTCAGACTTTAAAAAAAAAAAAGTAATTCTCAGGAGACAACCACTGCCAAGGTAAGTAAAGAGTATCACTGCAAAGCCCACAGTAAGGCAGGTCGCCTGATGCTTAAGCAAGTGGCTGTAACACACTAAGATGAGAGGCTGTCAGAAGTGCCAACCAACGTGGGCTGGAAAATGACTCGGTCACATCAGTTCTTAATGCAACATCACAAACCAATTGCAACCGCTGGCCCCGTGCCACTATCCCACACACCAACCGGGATCTTATCTGCCTGCAATCCAACCCAGTTGCCTCGGCTTCCATCCACATTCCTCTCCTGCAGGGAGCCAGCCCCTAACAGTTGCGTTATTGTGGGACCCAAGCTCAACGTGTGCTCACTGCTCTGGTGGCTGCACGCACTTACGGAGTTATGGCCCCCCTTATTACAATCTTATATTACAAAGAAAATGCAGTGGGAAAGGGATACAAAATAAATCCATGATTTCATAACAGATCTTCTAGGATTAGCATTACTTGCAGACTGGGATTTTTATATTACAGTGGAAAAAAAACAATCCTTAGAGATCAAAAAAGGAAGAGTACGTATCAACTTCACTCAGGCAACTCAGATTATTCGCGTGGAAGAATGGATGTGAAGAACTGTGCTGTCCTCCCTTCCTGCTCCCTCCTTCCAAAGCACTATCACCCACTGCCCCCAGCAGGTACCATCAGTGCCATGCTGAAGCTGTTGTTGCTTCTCAGGTTCGATCTTAGTGCCTCAGGAAGCTGTGTATGGAGTAAAATGGACAAGAACAAAATGATCAAAGGTCAACCTTAAAGACGTGATTCCTGGAAAGCGATGTGCCATTACTACAGAGAGCAGACGTGGGAGAGGACATGCTGTCACAAGCAAGCTGTGTCACAACTCTGTCAAGAGCCAGCATTACAACAGGTGACTCCGATGACTGCCAATGTCCTACCTTACAAGGTCTGTACTTCAGAAGTCAACAGGTGAGCCAGTATTAAACGCTAGGGACTAAGAAAGTATTGCAGGAATTCATGCAATACCATGCATCAAATTAGCGTTTATGAACTCAGAGCACTGTCCAATTAGCACAGCGAGACAGAGACAGAAACTGAAAAAAGGTACTGCATTTAAATAAAACACACCTCTATCAAATCCAAGTCACCACTAGGCATAGCTATTACCTTGCACCAATTACTCAGACTACCTTTTTGCCCTATATTAAACAGGGGACATGAATGAGTGTGTGGTTTGGGGCTTTGTGTTTTTGAATTAAAACAATAACACAAAAAACAGCTGTAAGCTGTTTCAGAAAGCTTCTTTTTGGAAGTAATTTCAAACACTAATTATTGACACTATCACTGAGAAGAATTGCTGCACTGATTTGCAATGAAGATCTGAAAACAGGCTTCAAGGTTGACCATACTGACTTAAAAGACTAAGCTTTAGCCAGACACTATGAGACAAGCACTGAACTAAAGCTGATTTTGGTCTATGCTTAATTGTTTAACACAGACCTATCCTCTCCAAGTTCAGTTTTGAGGAGTTCACTCGTTCTAAGAAAGAGAACTTGACAAATTTTGCTATGTTAATGTCTCCAATCCTGAGTTTTTCTATCTTTTAGATACGTCATATGGAATTTAGTTTCTATTTTTACAATCTTCTATAGGAATAAAAACACCAGGATCACACTCATGGAACCGAAGCCTGTCAGCCACAGATCCCACAACATCCTGCAGCTATTTGCTGAGCTGTACAGATAACAGTCAGATGTATTTGGCTTTAAACACAACCCTCCTTACAAGGATCTTCAAAGATGTCTCTGCCTCCTGATCCAGTTCTTCACAAAGTTCCACCACATATCCCACCATTAGGGTATACAGGGAAGAGGTAGAAGGGAAGGAAACTGATATCAAGGACACCCTTACCTTAAGACACTAAATCCATACTGCCTCTCAAAAGGATAATCTGGTAGTCTCCTTTCTCCTGGTCCCAACCATGTGTCCTGAGAGCATTAACTGTAGCCCTCATGAAGCCCTGCAGGCAGTCACATGAGTTTACTGATGCCCATTTCTTTCTTTTCTTCAAACTCTTTTCAGACATATAAGCAGCCTGGATCCAATTACCAGAAGGCTGCACATACAGTGGTGCTAACAGAAGTATAAGGTACACAGGGGATAGGAATGTAAGAATGGGAGAGAATTACTCTTTATAGACACCACAGTCTGAAAACAGCTGCCAAAGCCATTCCCCACACAGTTGTGAACATTACTTAAAAATTCTGCCTCGGGTCTATCTCTGCCTACAAGTCCTAATTGCATAGAGAAATTCAGCACAAAGCCTGCTAACCAGTGCTTACACCCACACAGATAAGAAATGAGATAAGATTACCAAACAGCACTGCTCGTGAATACAGCCTGAAAAGAGATCGTACCTCTGTGTGCCCACAACCACAGCAGAGAGCACACAGCACAGCTGGGACTCGCAAACCACAGGAGCAAGAGAAGTGAATCTGCATGAACAAAGGGGTGCTACTGAAGACCCGGGTGAAGGATGGAGTCAGGAAAGAGCCAGGACACTCAAAGAGCCTCAACCTAGTGACTAGCTTAGTGACTTCAGCCCTGCTCAGCCTGGTTGCCAGGACTGTACTCGGCTCTGGTGAGGCCGCACCTCGAGTGCTGTGTTCAGTTTTGGGCCCCTCGCTACAAGAAGGACATGGAGGTGCTTGAGCGGGTCCAAAGAAGGGCGACGAAGCTGGTGAGGGGCCTGGAGAGCAAGTCCTACGAGGAGCGGCTGAAGGAGCTGGGCTTGTCCAGCCTGGAGAAAAGGAGGCTCAGGGGCGACCTTATCACTCTCTACAGATACCTTAAAGGAGGCTGTAGAGAGGTGGGGGTTGGTCTGTTCTCCCACGTGCCTGGTGACAGGACGAGGGGGAATGGGCTTAAGTTGCACCAGGGGAGTTTTAGGTTAGATGTTAGGAAGATCTTCTTTACTGAAAGGGTTGTGAGGCATTGGAACAGGCTGCCCAGGGAAGTGGTGGAGTCACCATCCCTGGAAGCCTTTAAAAGACATTTAGATGTAGAGCTTAGGGATATGGTTTAGCGGGGACTGTTAGCGTTAGGTCAGAGGTTGGACTCGATGATCTTGAGGTCTCTTCCAACCTAGAAATTCTGTGATTCTGTGACTGTGAGGATGAGCCCCGAGGTGCCTGTGCATCTCCCCACGCAGGTCACAGCCCTGCAGCCGGCACCAGTCAGCTTAACTGATGGCTGACCTAACTCATCTTCCCTCCATAAACGGCTCCAGCATCCATCAGGCATTCCACTGAAATATTTTAGCATACCAAATCAGGAGAAAAAACATTAACTAACTTGACAAATAAGGTGTCTGGTGTGTTCAGAGCACTAGAACAGCTCAGCACAAGGTCAGGGAAGTGCCCAGAAGGGCAAAGCCATGCAAGCTAGCAATCACAGTAGCCTCAAGCAAGCGTACATCAGCATTTAAGTTAATCTCTTGGCCACCTTCACTTACCACACAGGTGCCTCAAGGCACACGAGCTGGCTGTCTCCCAGGCTCAACCAACAGACGCAGCCCAGCAAGCACATCAAGCCACCGCTAACGGGCACCAAGTCCACAGTACCACACTAAAACCAACCCAAAAGGGATAAAAGGCAGACAGCAAGGACACCGTGTCTTCAGCGTGAATCTCCACACCCTACAGCCCCAGTCCTGATCCTCCACAGTACTTGCTAACCCACAGAGCCACTCTCTACAGCAGTGACCACCTGGATATTTAAGTCATAACAAACTTCTGGCATTTTCCTATCCCAAGGACAATTCAGTACACCTTCCGACAACCACCTCCCCCAAATGAGCTTTATGCTAAGTTAATTTTAATCTGTGCATTGATCCTTCAAATAAATCAGCTTGGTACTTAAAAAAAGCTCCTCACACAGGAAGAAAGACTTGGGTTCAACTCCCTCCTTCCAACGCACACTTCCCACCTTCAGGGACAGTCCCCAAAATGCAGCCAACACGATGCTTAAAGCCTTCTGCTCTGCAGCCTTCTTCTCTTGCCCAGTGCTATACCTTCACCCAAAACCTAACACAAATAACACTCCAGCTGAGCCAAGCTACCTTATCACCACTGACATTTCATACTTTACTCAGCATTTGTTGTTCACTCAATAAGGTAAAGGGACAGAAAAAGTGACATCACCTCCACCATCTCTTGTGGAGAAACAAACGCCATGCCATCTTGTCTTTGAAAGAAAAGACAATTTCATTTGTTAGGCATGGTCCTAGCTGTAATACAGGGACACATGCAAAAGCCAGGTACTTAAATACTGAAGGAAGAGCAGGACAGCAACTGCAACAGCCCCTGATGTTTCCAAAGAGTGCAGAATATGATTTTGCAAAGAAGAAACACCACCAACTACTAGAAGTTCATAGTACATGGAGGCAAAGAATGTCACCAGTCTTGAAAATGTATTTAAACAAGACATTAATATTAGCATTTGCTTTTCCTATAGGTACTCGAACGAGATCTCCTCTCCTCAGGTTATCTGAGCACAGACTCCAAGTGCCATTGGGAGGCAGTGAGCTGTTAAAATGCTTAAATTTCTAGATTTTGGAGCAGATGACAGATTATAGTTTTGCATATTTAAAAAAGTAAACGGCAAAACAAATAGTAAGTGAGAGTTTGTCTAAACTATAAAACCTCTGTGAGTTAGTTATAAGTAAAGAAAACTCCTCAGTTTTGGACAAACTTCCATCTTTCAATACAATTATGGCGTTTGGTTGTTTTTCTTTCTAAATTAATACAAACTGCCAAGTCCCCCCCAAATATTTATTTCTACCAAGTAGGTTTCTTGGGAACAAAAGGAACATACAGCATTCTGCTAAGCTGTAGGAAAAAATCTTCAAAGTTATGCTTTTATTGTTTCAGTCAAAAGCTCAACTTGTTCATCCAAATTCATTCTCCTCAATACAGACTTGCTATAGCAGCTTACAAACTTAATCAGCTTCGCAGTTTCCTTAAAAAAGTTTCTTTGCCCCACTTTCTTCTGAAATACTACCTCAAATTTCAAGCTTGAAAAAAAGACAAAGTTGGGACCTAGAAACTGAAGATCTATAATAGTTTGATTGTTTTGTTTTCCTTCAAAGAAAAGTGTTTCTAGAGAACAGATAAATTACATGCAATTAATTTTACAGCACTAAAAGGCACTTGCATTGTTTTGGGGTTTATATTTTCCAGCAGAACAAGATGATTTGCAAAAGTTAAAAAAAATTTGGAGATATCGTTGCTTGAGGCCTTTTAATACAATAACACCTGAAGTCTTAAGTGAGTGATAGAAAAAAACTGTGTTAGAGGTAAAACTAGATGTTTAATACTCCATGAAGTTTGAGTAGTTTACATTACTTTCCCATGGGATTTTTTCAGTCATTTATAGTTCATTGCTTCGTATGGCTATAGAATCCCTGCTGTGTTAAAAAATGCCAAATAAAATTATATCTCATTCACTGCTTTATGCTATACCTTCTTTTGTTCAGATCCAATTAGTGAAAGCCTGTTCTTCATTTATCATACTTTTAGCTGATTACATTAGGCACTACAATAGTCCTCTAGCTTTCCTTGACAATGTTTGCACCATCAGTGTTACATTTATGGTTGAGGAGGCTCTTTCATCTTAACCCCCTATTCCAATCAGTTCAGGGGGAAAAAAAATACATACGATTATTCTTTTTTGACTGA